CCTGGTATTGCGATGTCTATGATTGTGACCTTATTTTTCTCAACCAGTGTGATGCATTTTGGAATGTTCGGTTGGCTGAGTTTCATGTTTAATGAATAAAATACATAATAATAATATTGACCGGTCGCTAAATGAATGGTTATAAGTCAAAGGCAACCTGTATTTTGCAAGAGGGCAATTATTAGCCAGTTAAGCAGAAATGAGTTTGCATCAGGTCAAAAGAGGAAGAACATTGTAGTCAGGTACGAATAGAAAGACCTCCTGTATTTAAAGAGACTGAATCTTTGGCTCTTTTGCTTGAATCTCAATTTTTCCTTTCTATTCTTGATGTGCAACATGGCATGAAATCCTCTCTTGCACATTATTGGCCTTGTTTTGAAATCACATTCTTCATGCACGCAGAGACATGTGTGTGCATTTATACACATTCGCTGCTCGGTGGAGGATTCATCATGCTCCGTACGTCTGATGAAATGTATTTCAATGCCAAGATGTCCTCCTGTGGATTTTGCAGCTCCACCAAAGCTGTGTTGTTCCAGCTGTGGCCAGAACCAAAGTCTCCAACTCTGTTATTACTGGCCTGGTCCATAATTAGAGTTTTATTGAAGAAAAAAAAAGAAAGAAAAAAAACAGGAAGCCACCCTTCCCTTTGCTGCCAATAGTCCAAAATTCAGACCTTCTTGAGTCCATCTTTGGTCATTTGTGATCTCAACTTGGCAGCTCCCCAGGTTAACAAAGATACCAGCATTTCTTGATGTGCAACAGATGTGCTTTTAACCTTAGCTTTGAATCCTTGCTTGCGTAGAAAAAACATTGTGATGCACACTGAGAGTAACCACAGGAGCAATCTAGTGCATGGATAAGGACAGGGGTGGGCTTCAAAAATTTCAGCAATGAGTTCTTGGCTCAGTTGATGGGTGGGTGTGGCCATGGTGGGCGTGGCCTAGCTGGCCTCCTACAGCATGGCATCATCTTTCCCCAGGTTCCGGAGGCTTTCCACGAGCCTATGGGAGGGCTAAAATTGCCTCCCCTGGACTCCGGAGGCCTTCCGGGAAGCCCGTTTCCCCCCCTCCCCAAGCCTCCATGTGGGCCCTGCACTTACCATATTTTTTCGGAGTATAAGACGCACAGGAGTATAAGACGCAGCAAGGTTTTGAAGAGGCAAATTAAAAAAAAGTTTTTGCACTCTGCAAACCTCCCAAAACGGCCCATTTTTCATGAAAACAGGCCCATTTTCTTTTTTAAAAAAGGCCATGAATAGCCTTAGGAGAGTTCTAGAGTGTTCCTGAGGGGCAAAAACAAGCAAAAAATGGTCCATTTTTTTGCAAAAATTGGCCCATTTTTTGTCAAAAAAAGGGCATTAGGAAGCTTATAGAGTGCTCCTGGGGGCTGGGGTGGCAAAATTGAGCAAAAAACGGCCCATTTTTTGTTAATTTCTGCCCCCCCCCAGCCCCCAGGAGCACTCAGGAAGCCTCCTACAGGCTCTGCATGCCCATTTCGGTGAAGGGGGTGTTCAGGAGGCAAAAAATGCTGTATTCAGTGTATAAGACGCACCCAGATTTTCAGCCTCTTTTTTGCGGGAAAAAGGTGTGTCTTGTACTCCGAAAAATACAATAGCTCGTATCCAAAATGGGCTGCGTGGAGACTCCTGGGAGGGGAGGGGAAGGGTGGGGTGGGTGGGGCCAGCCAGGGGTTGGATTTGGAGATTCTCCAAACCAGCCATAACATTAACTACGGGTTCTTCCGAAGACAGGCAAACCCGTAGTAGACCACCTCTGAATAGGAATGCTAAATGAGAGGGTTTCTAGATTGTGTGGTGGTGGATCTTAGTATAGTATAATCTTTATTGTCATTATACTTAAATACAACGAAATTGGTTGGGGTCACTGGGGTCAACTGCACAACCCATGTTCCTTATCATCTTTTCCAAGCATACATCCATGGTTTCCATAACCGAACTCTACTCCCCACGGATGATTAGTCTGTGCATGTACCGAAGGAACTCCCTCCCTCTGGATGGCAGCATGATTGAGTCAACCGGGTGTGTCCCAGATGACCTTCACATGGGATATTACACAGATGCTTTGCTCTATGACCTTTAAATAAATGAGTTCTTCTTGGGGGAAGGAGGGAAAACATCCTTAATTTTGCTCTGATTCTATCAGAACTCAAAATTCTTCTCTTCAAGTTGTTCTTCCATTTGGGACTGGGAAGGCAGGAGGCAGAAATGAATAGGTGGGTGGGTGGATGGTAGGTAGTTAGCAATAGCACTTAGACTAATATACCTCTTTACAGTGTTTTACTGCCCTCTCTAAGCAGTTTACAGAATCAGCCTATTGCCCCCAACCATCTGGGTCCTCATTTTACTCCCATCGGAAGGATGGAAGGTTGAGTCAACCTTGAGCCTGGTGAGATTCGAACTGTCAAATTGCAGGCAGCCGGCAGTCAGCAGAAGTAGCCTGCAGTGCTCTGACCACTGCGCCACCACCGTTAAATAGGTAGATCGTAGCTGACTCCTGCAATAACCCTTGATTGGGATCCCCCCCCCCACATTTCCATATGGGGAATACTGTGCTTGCCTCACATCCCAAGTTTCTCTCAAGGCCTCGTCACTCATGGGTGAAGCAGGTGAATGGTGTTTTATAGCAAAATATACCAATGGAGAAAATAAGAAATGAAAATTTGGTGTAATTTTGAAGGGGCAATTGAAGATATTGTTTACGTACTAGGAAAAAAATAACTGTAAAGATGAAAAAATGATGGAAGAGAATAACTTGGCTAAAAGTGAAAACAGAACTATGATGTAAAATGAACTATGTAAATGAGTGGATGTAAAAGAAAAGGCCCAGACAACACTTTGTTCCTATAATATGTATAATTTGTATTAAAAAAATAAAACACCTTGAATTAAAAAAAAGGAGAGAGAATGGTGTTTCTCAACCTTGGTATCTTTCAGATGTGTAGACTTCAACTCCGAGAATTCCCCAGCCAGCATAGGAAGGAATGGAAGAGGGCTTTCTTCTTGCAACCACTTCCTTCAGTTTATTTATATTACATACAATACACCTGTGTAGACTCCAGGTGGATAAAGGTTGTGGAGGCAGTTCTGTAAACTGCCAGCTGCAAACTTCCCCATTATCAGTAGATCAAGGGAAGCTTCCTCACTAGATCAATGGAAGCTGGTTGGAAAAGGAGCATCTCCACTCTCGTGTGCAGGGGTGGGGTGGGGATGTATTGCTTGGTTCCAAATGAGAAATAGTTTGGTTGCTGAAATGCTTGCAGCCCCGTCTCTTTCTCCTTAATAAATCTTGTTAAAGAAAACTTTTAAGAGTCTGGATTGGAAAAGAATCGTTTTGAGTCTTAGGCAGCTACTAAGATTCCTCTGACTTCTCACATAGGATGGCAAAGCAGTTTTGGGAAGACAAATGGAAGAGGAAGCGGACACCTTCACCTGAAGGCCCAGGTACTTTTTGCTTACTCAGCTGCTGTAAAAAAAAATCATGCAAACTGATTATAAATTGCGGCACAATTCAGTAGCACAAATGATCCANTCGAATGCATCACACATTGACCATGCCTCCCCTGTTTTAGCGAAGGGGATATGCCACGTGACGACAACATGACAATGTGACTTTGACAACCCTGTTTAGAAAGTCGTCTGATGATAATATTACAAGTTTCTGAAGGCACTATTGGTTATAGCAGGGTACTTAGCAGGCTGAGTGTACTGCTAGATTATAGCTTCATTGCTTTGATGCAACATTGTGCACCACTAGCTAGCTCCGTGTGCACTAAAGCATGTACAAAGCATATCTCCCTCTGCAAAAGATAAGACTTTCACACAAACTTGAGTAGGAAAGTTTTATTTTCCAGCAAATGAAATTGTTTGCTCTGAAAGTTCTGCCGAGTTTCAAAAGTTCCTATTTTGAGTGAATCTATGTGTATTGTACATATGATTTTTACAGCAATATATAATTTCTTAAAGTTATGTAAGAGTATACCATGTAGCTAAAGCAAGTCTTCCATCTAGTGGCTTGTGATGACTTTGACATTTAAAACAAAATAGCTGAATAATACAGCTTTTAGAAGGAATGATGAGTAGATAATTCAGATGTTATTGTTATTCACAGCAAAACATGATTACTTGATCTGAATATAAATGGAGTTATATAGGCATATATCCTAGCTATATATATCCTCACATTATGCATGCTGATTTGAGATTTCAAACCAGCCAAATGGATAAATTTAGCAGTTAAAGTGGTAAGTGTTCTTGTATAAAATAAACATAGCCAGGTGTTTATTCCATATTAAAAAAGCCAAGCATTATTTTACCTATCTCAGCATTAGGTATGTTTTTGTTTAACAAAACAAAGAAGCATAAAAGCTAAATCATTAAACAAACATATCAAATTCCAAGGTAATTCATTGAAACAAAAGCCATCACTAAGACACTCACATAGCCCAAAACTTGCAGCAGTAAAACTAATCTCTGGAAAAGAAGCATGTTATTTCTTTAAAATTTCATAAAATATGATTTTTATGGTGGATTTTTAAACTTATCTTGGGAAATAAGAATACAAACAATTGGCAGAAACTACATATGTAAACAAAGAGCTATATTTTCTGCTCCTCTTCAGCACACAAGAATGAATCATAGTCAGATGAGCCTATTTGAACAATAGGGATGGGTGGATTGACAGCGAACCAATCTGTTTTATGACATAAATGTACAGTATAGCTTTCTGCTCCAGAGGTTTTATGTAGATTTTTAATAATAAGCTTGATTTTTAAAATGTTTTAACTGCCAGGGGTTCTTGCTTTCCTTAATTTATCAGCAAAAATGCTTCCCCACTAAATTGCAGTAGCAAAGAGTCTTTTGCAAAGCATCTGTATAGCTGTATGATAAGTATCACAACCAACTGGGTAAAAAGGTGCAAGTATAGACTTTCAAAGACTCAAAAGGTCTGATAAATAATCTGATTCCAAAAAAGCTAATGAAATTACTAAACAAGAAAGAATGCCACTGATTGCTATGCATTAAATGCAAGCCTCATTTATAATGAATTCAAGATTTGTCTTTTTTTCTATTTGGGCAGGATAGCAAACTAGAAAGAATTGTCTCGTTGGCAAAAGGGACTGTTTACACCTGTGTCTCTTGGATATCTATAGTATCCAGGAAGTGCAGCAAAGGAGAATTAGTATGTCTCTAGAGAGAGAAAGATATGGGGCATTTTAACGTTGGCAAGAAAGACAAAACCAAAAGATGTAGGCTTTTATAAAAGTTTCAAAAGTGTCTAATCCCCATTCACAGAAGACTAATTTACAGCTGGATTTAATCTTCATCTGGAACTGTGGGGAAATTCTTTTATATCCCTATAAATGCATAAAGAACTAGCCAGATGATTCCTTAAAACTAGGACATGACATCTTAGTCCCCATTTATGCACGTAATGACTTTAATTGACCAATAAAGCGGGCTGAGAGTTCTGGAAATGTTTGATCTTGGATTGAAAAATAAGATCAAAAACTTCCTAATGAATGACTCAAACATGTTACAAAAATTATCTACTTTCTTATCACCAAAGGCAGTGTTGAGATTTTTATCTAATTCTACTTTTTAGGCAATGCAAACTGAAGAGTTCTATAAAATAATTTGGAATCCATATATTCCTCCCTTGGGACTCTTTTCATGAGAGTTTTTTATGATGAATCCAAAACTATTTGTTGACAGCAAAAAGCTAATGTTAAATTAACTCTACGTATTCTTTTGTGTCTGCAGTAAATTTTGTCCCACTCCAAACTGAGAGTGAAAAAATATGTTTCCTGGAAAACTACAAATGGTGTGCTCTGTCAAATACACTCATCAGTGTCCATATAACTTGCATCTGTTTGGATAACCTTTTGCTTTCTTGCATCCCTGCTGTAGCAAAGAGATCTGTGAAGCAAATGACACCATCATGTGTCCCATGTGTGAGAAGAGCTGTACACTGCAAAAGCTCAATGAAAGCTGCATCTACGCAAAGGTAACTGGTTTTTCCATGATAATTGGTTTTTGTTTCCCACAGGGCTTCTGTGACCCAGCAAGGTGGGCTAAGGCCATGTAGAACAGGACTAGTCTCATTGTAACAGCTGTAATAGCTGAATCTTGCAAGTCTGAATGTGCCTCCTTCTCTCCCACTCTATGGACTTGTGGGTTCATAGAGTGAGACTTTGGGTATCTCATCACTGGAGGCTTTCAAGAAGAGACTGGACAGCCCTTGTATGAAATGATATAGTATCTCCTGCTTGTGCAGGGAATTGAATGAGATGACCTCCAAAGTTCCTTCCGACTGTTATTCTATATTCTATGTTCTAACTAGGAAGGGACTAGCCTGAGAAGTTTCCTCACAGTACAACATTAAGGTCAGATAAGAGGGGTTTGAGTTTGCCTCAGGCTCAAAGCCCTCTTATCTGTCCTTAATAGTGGCTCTTCCTCCTATCCCTTAAAGACATTCACTCCCCTTTCCAGATTCCACTGAAAACTATTTGTGTTATATTTCCCTCCTAATATCCAGAATTGCACTGATCTTTAAATAGCAGCTGATCATGCCATTTCATTGTGTTCACTATCTCACAAGAACCATCGAGTTGGTTGACAACAAAATGTTTGTGATAGAATCTAAAGGTAAGCATAATCTGGGTGGGTCACTGGGGACAGAGGCTTAGTCTTCCAAGCTCATTTGGACTCATGCTGGGGCTCATCCCCCCACCCCCAGGGAACTTTTCTCTCAGCAGAATGTGTGACTTGAGCTA